GCTGCTTTTACAATAGGCCACATTTAAATGGACTTGGGTCCATAGTACAAATAGAAATAAAAATAAAAAGGCGATTCATTTTCGAGAAAAAAAAATCCAAAACAACAAAGAATGTGTTTCCTGTGGTTTTGCTTTGAAAAAATAATATCTTTTAAATCAAAAGTGGGGGGCAATTTGCTTGAAATCACAAGAAAACAAAAAAAAAAAAACACCTATGCATCTTTTTTACTTTACTTATTATAATTCTTTGAGTCACGAGGGAATGGAATCGAATTTAAGCAGCTTCTAAAATCATTATGGAATCTATGAGAATCTTTTTTAGCTCAGTTTGATCAAAATATTATTATTAGGTTCAAGTTGGCAAACTCTATTTCTTGGTTCAAGCTTGGTTCGATTAAATATTCTGAGCACGAGTTCGGTATGAAAGCTTAAAATTGAATATATTTTTATATTATATATAGAATATAAAAATATATTTACATAATATTATAAAATATATTTTTATATTTTATATATGTGTATATATGTATATATGTATGATGATAATGTCTAAATTAATCAATTAAAGATTATGGTAGGAAAAGCACCTTGAACGAGTTTAATCTGTAACAAAGATAAAAAGTCAAAGGGCCCAGGGTGATATCCCGGGCTAGACACTCCAACGAGTGTCTAGTCATATAGTGTTAAAGGTTTATGATGAGGGGTGATTTGGCCCTCTAGTGACATCTTCCCATGTGACACTTTTGAACCGTTGCATAACACCTTGACGCCATGTAGGCAATAACATGTCTTTGCCAAAGTTGGTCGAGTTTACCTCGGATACACCTCGCACACCTTGAGAGAGCAACTCGGTACCACCTTGGTAGGGCCGATCCGTTTGCACCTCAGTAGGATTAGGCCGATGATTTCATCAGGACCAAGCTAGAGACCTTGGCATGAGGGGTGACCTCCCACCGAGGTGCCACCAACCTGACTAAGGTCCAGTTGGGGACCTGCGTGATATGGCCACCAGTCTCTGCTACGTGCAACTTATTGTCTCCGAATCCTTTGGGATCACGTTGCTTGACCGATGGAGCTAGCACCTATGCCGCTCACTTCAGAGGTAATGAGATAAGCTTTATTGCTTTATGCAAAAACCATTTTTGAGTGTGAAACCACCTCCGAGCATGGCAGGTAGATAAGCCACATTCTCCTAGAGATCTCGGATGCATTACGTGGGGCTCACGATTACTTGCGCCTATATAAAGGCATCCCTTCAACTAGAAAAGGTACACACAATTTTGCTCTCAAACTTTCTAGCTCTCTTTTGCTTTCTTGCATTCTCAACACTCATCACTGACTTAAGCATCGAAGTGCTCACCCTGGGTAAGGCATCACAAGAACTTTGATCATTTACTTGCAGCTCAACTAGCCAACCTTGTGAACTCGACGTCTAAACTGTCTTCCAATAGGGAGCACTAGAAATCTTCAAGACATCTGTTGAAGGAAGTTGCCACATCTAATGCACGTAATGGAACATTGGATCCACCTTCTATCATGGTGAATCGTGTCAATTGACGATGGTGCCAAGTGATTCTCAAATCTGAGTCACACGTGGTCTGTTTGGCATATGGAGCAAACTGTGCTTTTTGCCGAGTTATCACGGTCTGACACAGGCTTAGCCTTGCCTACGCTTGGTAGGCATACGTTACGGGACATTACCGTCATTTTTGCCAGTAAGATTATTGGAAAATCTCATGTTATCTTTAGGCAGACCACCAAAAGCTTAACGCATTCTTTGAGGAGGGGTGGTCGACCTCCTTGGGTGCCTGACATTGGCACTCTTAGACCAACATCCCTTACGGGGCGGCCCTGGTTAATGGCTAGCATGGCTACTAGGGTTCCTCATGGGCGCGCACATGCTCATGGGGACAGTGCATGGATCGGCACTACGCCACCGACACTCAAGGGAGGCTTGGCATGCGGGCCTTGCCTAAGCATGACCCTTCACCACACCAGCCCGTTGCCTAAGCTGAATGAGCTATCCCGTTGCCCATAGCTCACGGGTGTGTTTCGGCCCAACGGTTGCCTATCATCATTGGCACAACAGGTGCCTAAATTATCGGCATATAGGAGCCCCTCTCATCGGCACGAAGTTGTCTCTCATCATGGCCATCCCCCTTTAGCATGTAAGTGGTGCCTCCCATGGACCAGCCAGAGCCAGTAGAGAGCCCCAACCATGCGAACTGAGGTCATGATCCAGTGATACTGAACTTGGTCGAGCCATCTCATTGGGCAACTCCTAGCCTCGCATCACAGAAAGGCTTGTCCTGGCCTCCCTTGGCCTGGACGACGCACGGGATTCTTCCGTTGCAGATCTACCCCCGTGACAGTTGGTATTAGAGCAAATGCACACAGAGCCAATTAAAGCGGTCATCTCGACAAGCAGCACATCGTGGGGTGCGGTTCCTCGGCACTTCCACTTGGGTACAAGCAAGCAAGCATACACATCAGGCCTGGCAAGAGGCCATTCATTCGTGTCCCCATTCCAATGACCCCAAAGCAACACCCTTGTGGGGGCAGATGCATTGGGTGTTGTGCTCATGCGGGGGCAGATGCATGAGCCATTTCATGGAAGGCATATTGTGGTGGTTTGAGTGGGGGAGTGCCATTCTTCCTCACGGGCATCAGTTGTTGTTCATTTTGGTGAGTTGTGGGCAGTGCGCCTACATCTTGGTTTCATGACGGATGAGCCATTGTTTCGTAGCTTTGTCTGAGGCACTACTAAGGTAGGGACAACAGTCCAAAATTGGTTGGGTGTCGACGGTTGGTAAAGGAATACCACTGAAGTGGTAGTTTTGCACACAAATGGGTCATCGGTTAAAGCCACAATATTGGAATGATAGGAATGTGGGTACACTGGCCATTGAAGCATGGTGGCCCTACATTGGCAATGCATCGGAGGACATGCTCAGCTCAACAACAAGGCAGAACATTCGCAACAACAACAACACATCACATAGGCGAGTGCATGTTCGGCAACATCATGGGAAAAAGTTGCCACACTCGCGCACAACTCGGTCAGATTTCCTTGAGATAGCAACACATTGGGGCCCCCTTGGAGCGAACATGTAGCCTGAACCGGCGAGGTGAAGTGTAGTTTCGAGGGCTAAAAGAGCATAAACCATGGCTAGGTTTGAGTAACTCGAACACAGCGAGGTGAAATCTGCAGGCCAGCATGGTGAAAAGGTACACCCAGGACACACGCCAACAACAGGAGTAGGCCTATCACATTGTGTTCGGTAGCACCACCGAAAAGGTACCAAGAAGATGGTCGAGCCTTGAGGTAAAGATGATACATGGGGTGGACCTCCGCGAAGCACACATCCAATTTTTTCGAGGGCCCTTCTTTCATATAGTTCAACGGCATAGCCATCGCGCGACTTGAGTAACCTCAATATTGGGGGTGAATTCCGTCCCCATAAATGGATACCAACATAGGCGAGACCCAGGTTGGCCAGGCGAGCTCAGGAACTGGCACACAAGTGGATGGCACGGGACACAGACGCCCATTCACAAAGGAGCCAATGTCGAGGATGACAATGGATTGAGTGGGGGAGCCTGTCATGGTCTAATACAGGCTTAGCCTTGCCTACGCTTGGCAGGCTTATGTTAAGGGACATCACCATCATTTTTGCCAATAAGATTATTGGGAAATCTCATGTTATCTTCAGGTATACCACTAAAAGCTTAACGTACTCTTTGAGGAGGGGTGGTCGACCTCCTTGGGTGCCTGACCTTGGCACTCTTAGACCAACATCCCTTGTGGGGTGGCCCTGGTTAATGGCTAGCTTGGCTACCAGGGTTCCTCAGGAGCGCGTACATGCTCATGAGGACAGTGAATGGACCGTCATTGCATCACCGATACTCAAGGGAAGCTTGGCATGCGGGCATGGCTTAAGCATGACCATTCACCACGCTAGCTCCTTGCCTAAGTTGAATGAGCTATCCCGTTGCCCATAGCGCATAGGTGTGTTCCGGCCCAACGGTTGCCTATCATCATTGGCACAACAGGTGCCTACATCATCGACATATAAGAGCCCCTCAAGTCGCCTCTCATCATGGCCATCCCCCTTTAGCACGTAAGTGGCGTCTCCCATAGACTGGCCAGAGCCATCAGACCGACCATGCGAATTGAGATCATGATCCAGTGTAACTGAACTTGGTGGAGCCATCTCATCGGGCAACTCCTAGTCTCGCATCACACAAAGGCTTGTCTTGGCCTCACTTGGCCCAAACACCATACGGGTTTCTTCCACTGCAGATCTACCCTCGTGACAGAGTTGCATTCTCGTAAACAACATAAAGGTGCTTCAAGTGCTTACATCAAGATGGTAGAGGGATGGCTGAGGTGAACAAGGTCCAAGGTGCTAAATTTGCTCCGATGGCTCCCACATGTGAAGATTCTGTTGGAGAATGGCCCATATCCCCATATCATATGATGTATGTATGTATATTTTAATCAAATCAGGTTCGTGAACTTTCAAACCTAACTTTTTATTGGAAGAGATCGAATTCGAATAATTAATTGAGCTTATCTTAAGATAAGGCTG